TTTTTTTTTTTTTTTTTATTATTTTGCCTTTAAATAGTTTCCTTTTTAGTCTGCGGTAGGCCCAAAAGCCCCTGTTTGCTTAATTGCTCAGGACATTTACCTTCAAAACCGAAATGGCTTCTATTAATTGAGAAAGTAGGGAAAGGATGTAGCTTTATTTAATTAAAGGAAGGTTTAGATAATTGGGCAAGTCAGTATTATATTTTGAACCTCATAATTTTCGGTGGGCTTGTAGATTCTTAGAGGGTTAGCTTGGGCTTTAAAGCATGATGGGTTTATCTATTGTTAGGATTTTTCTCTTCAATTATCTTTAAATTTAAATTAGCAATAGCTAACTAGTAATTAATAATTCATGGTTAAAATTTGATCTTTAGTTTAGAGATAAAGTGATAAGTACAGGAAATAGCTCTGGAATTGATCATTAATTGGTGATTTAGTAACGAATGAAAGGGTTTTAGTTTAAAGATTAACATATTGGTAACCTTAGATTAGACCTCCACTTGGAATAATGGAATAGGCATATTATTCATAACAGAACCATATAACTTTAGTGACTCGGATGGAATCTGGGGAAGATTATGAGAGCTTGGGTTTTCATTTCTGTTTGTTTTTTTTAATACATACATACATACATATATATATATATATATATATATATATATTAGCCTTTTGTTTTTGGGTTCTAATTTAGTTGGGTTTGATTTTCATACATATGGGCTTTAGTTAGTCGGGTTGGTTTTGTATGAATTAGGTTTTATTTTTATTTTTTATTTATTTATTTATTTATTTTATTTTATTTTATTTTATTTTTCCATTTTGGACCCTTCTTTTATTTATTATCCGGTTGGGCCTGATTTCATGTGCAAATGGTTTTTTTAGTATGTATATGTTTGGGCCTTATACTTGGGTAATATTTGGGTTTAAGGGCTTGATTGTTTTGATCCAACATAGGTTTAATTAAATGAAATAAGATTTAAATTTTTGGAATAGATACATATGCATCCATATTTAAATTCCATACCTATATTGTTGTTACCATGATCATGAGACTAAAATTAAAATGACTCCCGTGAAGGGAAAGGAGGGTGGCTCATTCATGCGTGTCTGAGTTTGCTCGCCTTCTCCTGGAGGTTTGGAAATTTCCTGAGGTCGTTTACCATTTATTGGGAGGCGGCCAAAGGTGTTCCTCGTATAATTAATGGGTAATTAATCTTAAACCGGAAAACATGCATCATGTGCATTCATGCATTTAGGGTTTAGATTTAGTAACTTTCAATTAATTGATAAGAAAAATCCAAAAAAGAAGGGAATAAAGCTATTTTTCAAAAAAAAAATTACAAAGAGTTTGTGCTTGAAAATTGTTCTCTTTTAGTTTTCCAAATAAAAATTAAAAAGGAAAAAAATTGAATCTTTCAAAATTAAATAAAAGGTTTTCAAAAATCCGAAAAAATCAAAAATCAAAAGTCAAAACAAAATTTCATTCCAAGATTTCAAAGTATTCAGTTTAGGTCTTTTCAAATTGGGAAAGTTCCCATCAAGTTTTCAAATGTTCAATTTAAGCCTTTTCAAAACATTCAAACATCATTTTTCAAATTGAGTTGTTTTAACGGTAAGTTTTAAAGAAAATCTTCAGCATGAGGAGCCCAAAAAGAGAACAAATAATAAACGGGAAGTCCCCAACATTCCTATTTCAAAATCCAAAACCTGTTTTTGCTTGTCTATTTGCTTAATTTAAAAAAAAATTAATAAAAGAGTCCAATGGCATGAAAATACTTAAGGATAGAGATAACCAATAATAGAAACCCGCAGTTAATTCTAAGCTAGTCAGTGCTGTCTTTTGACGGGCGTTGTGGGGGTGCTAATCCTTCCCCACGCGTACCAGACTCCCGAACCTTTAAGACTCTGGTTAGAAGACCGTTTTTTAGGTTTAGTGTTACCTTCGCCAAGCTTAGGTTAACGTTAGACTTAATAATCTGATAGGTGGCTAATCACACCTAGATTAAAAAAGATTAGTGGCGACTCCCATAGGATTTCAGTAGTAGTTTCCCCTTAGTTCTTTTAAGTCGTTAAACGGTAGGGTTTGGACACCCCGGACTCGGACGTTGCGACAGAAGTATATTGAGGCTCTTGCTGATCCTTTCTTTAAAACCGATGTTAACCAGATAAATGAGGAGATAGAAGCCAAGACTCTCCATCTGGCTGCTCTGAACATGATGTTTGATTCGTGGAAAGGCAAAATCCCATACATCTTCAAGATTACCAACTTGGATGAACCTCCTGTGGATGATGAAGATCCTTCAGAGGACTATGATTGCCCAGAAAGTCCAATTTCTCCTTTATCATTTTGATTTCAACTTTTCTTATGCATTTATTTTATGAACGATTTTTGTTTGACCTTGGTGGCGTGTATTTTGCCAACCAAATTTGCATAAGTAGTTGCTTCAAACTATTTTAGATTGTTGATTTAATTGGTGGTATTGGACTTTTACTAACTCAATTTCAATAAAGTGGCTATTCTGCAAACCATCAAAGACTTGATTCCAAAAAATAAATTTAATCTAATGGTCTTTTGGTCAAAAACCAAAAAGATTAGGTTAATTAGGAATTAAATTTGGCATTGATTGCAAAAAGGGGGTTATTTGCAACCAATAGAAAAACCAAATAACCTAAAAAATTCGGCCTAAACCTTTCAATTAAGGCCAAATCGAAAATTTGAATAAAAACAAATTCCAAAACGCTTTTTCATGCTTTTAGTGATGGATTTTTTTCTTTTCGTCGCCAAATATAGCCTTTAGCAACGTTTATTGTCACTAAAATGACTTTTGGTGACAATTTGCTTAAAATTTTCATTACTTATGAATGTAATAAAAATATTTTATTTATTTTTAAAGCCGCGAAAATGCAATTGGGGCGGCTGAGTCCATGAAGCGTTTTCAGTACCCGATTACACACTGGTGAACCCAATGGCCGTAAGTTGACTCATGGCCATGTCATTGGGATCGCCGGGAAGAGAATCGAACTCGGGTTGTGGTTCACTTCTTGCTTCCCAAGTGTTTGGGTAATATGTTTTAAGATAGTGCCCATTGATAAATCTTTGGTGTGACTTACTATCTGTTGTTTCTAACCAATAAGCGCCCATTTTTCAGCACTTTCTTGGTTCGGAATGGTCCTTCCCATTTGGGTGACCATTTTCCCATTCCATCTACATGCCGATAGGCAAAATGGCTTTCCAAACTAACTCGCCTTCGATGAAATTTCTAGGACGAACTTTTTTGTTGTAGTATCTTTCTGCCTTTTTCTTTTGAGCTTATGGATGATTTAATGCATCAAGCCTTTCTGATTCTAAGTCTTCAAGTTTGATCATCATGGCGTCATTATAATCATACCACTGTAAGTTGTTTTGAAAAGCAACCCTGGCTGACTTAGCTAATAGTTCCATAGGTACCATAGCGGCATGGCCATAGGTTAAACAGAATGGACTTACTCCAGTGGATGACCTTTGTGACATTCAATAAGCCCACAATGCTTTTGACAATGCCTTGTCCCATTTGCCTGGCTTATCTTTTAGCATTTTCTCGATGATGCCAATCATTACTTTGTTTGAAGCTTCGACCTACCCATTAGCCTGTGTATAATAGGGAGTTGATTTGATAAACTTAAGGCCAAATTTCCTCTCTAAGTGACTTGTAATCTTTCCATCAAAGTTAGTACCACAGTCAGTTGTAGTCGTCTCTGGAATTCCAAAGCGATAAACGATGTGTTCTTCGATGAAACTCTTGACATCTGAGTGAGTGGTGCTTCTCATTGCTTTAGCCTCTACCTACTTGGTAAAGTAGTCAGTTGCAACAATGATGAAACAAACGCCTCCCCTGGCCGGTGGGGTGATCTTGCCGATTAGATCAATCGCCCAACCTCTGAAAGGCCACAGTTTTATGATGGAATGTAATTCTTCAGTAGGGAGTCTCCAAATAGGGCTGTATTTTTGGCATTGTTGCCATCCCTTAGTGAATTCCATGCAATCCTTCATAATTGTTGGCCAGTAAGAGCCATGACGGTGTGCTAGGCATCTCATTTTTCTTCCAGCTTGGTGCGCACCACACAAGCCTTCATGCATGTCTTTGACAACTTTTCGAGCTTCCTCTTTACTTAATTAGCATCTTAAAAGAGCTCCATCGAGGTCTTTTTTGTATAGTTCATTGGCCAAGACAACATAATGTGTAGCCAAGGTCCTAATACATCGATTAAACCTCCTACTTGGATCTTTCGAATACTCAAGAAAAGGCTCACGCCAATCGGAATGTATATGGACAATGTTGCAAATTTCGAACACATTATCTCTTTTCAAAGTGGATGGTAAAGTGCGTCTTTCGACATTCAGCACCTTTTTCCAAATATCGTCTGGAAAAGTAATGCCGGATGCAAGTTGTGCAGCGACATTCGCACCTTCATTCTGATATCTAGGCACGTGCTCAATACTTACATTGTCAAATTTGTCCAACAATTGGGCTGCCATTGCATAGTATGGCAATAATGATGGACTTGTGCAATTATACTCTTGCATGAGTTGGTTCATCACTAGTAATGAATCACCTTTGATGTGCACCGAAGTTGCTTTCATCTCTCTGAGTAATTCTAAACCAATGATGAGTGCCTCATACTCAGCTTGATTGTTAGTACAATCGAAATCTAAGTGAAAAGCCATCATGGTATAATCATCATCGGGTGATGTGAATACTATTCCTGCACCCGCTATTTGTGCAGTATTAGATCTGTCAAATTCAAGGATCCAGGGTAGCGTAGCGGCTTCCATAACTTCATTAGCATCTTCAAATTCTTCTCCCAAGTTTAAACAAGGGTGGGCGGCCAAAAAGTCAGCAACAACTTGGCCTTTTATTGCTTTTCGAGGAATGTATTTGAAGCTAAATTCAGAAAGTGCTAAACAACCTTTGAGCAGAGGTCGTGTCAACATGTACTTTACAATATCGGTTTTAGCAATAATGCACACGTTAAAGTAGAGCATGTAATGCCAAAGCTTTATTGCTGCAAAGTAAAGTGACAAACAAAGCTTTTCAATAGGACTGTATCTATATTCTACATCAGTAAGAGTCCTACTGAGATAATACACTACTTGTTCCTTTCCTTTTTCTACTTCTTGAGCCAAAAAACATCCAATGGATGATGTCGTGGCTGATACATACAAGTATAAAGGCTTATCCTTTCTAGGAGGAACTAAGACAGGTGGCGATATCAAGTAGTTTTTTATCGCCTCAAAAGCTTCTTGATGTTTTTCAACTTCAACAGTGGTGAAAACGCTTTGGTTTTATCAGCAGTATTGGAAATGAATCTTCGTAGAAAATTGACTTGACCAAGGAATCGTTGGTGTCCTTTCTTGTTGGTGGGTGGCTGGGCTTGTAGAATAGCTCTTGCCTTGTTTTGGTCTATCTCGATGCCTCTTTGATGAACCAAAAATCCAAGGAAGTTACCTGCACCAACACCAAAGGCACATTTTAATGGATTCATTTTCAATCCATGTTGCCTCGTTCTTTCAAATGAGCGTCGTAAATGATCGATGAGGTCAAGAGTATTATGAGACTTAACCACTAAATCGTCGATGTAAACTTCCATGAACTTACCAATCATGTCATGGAAGATAGCATTCATTTCTCGCTGGTAAGTTGCACCGGCATTTTTTAGTCCAAAAGGCATGACTACCCACTCAAAATTACCAATGGCGCCAGGGCATCGAAATTCTGTTTTTGAGACGTCCTCCTCCGCTATGTAGATCTGGTTGTAGCCATTGTGTCCATCCATAAAGGATAAAACCTTATGTTGGGCGGCTCCGTCAACTAGAAGATCTGCAATAGGCATTGGATATTCGTCCTTAGGAGTGGCAGAATTCAAGTTTCGAAAATCAACACAAACTCAAATTTTACCATTCTTTTTAACCACTGAGACTATATTAGAAATCCATTCAACGTACCTTGCGGTGCGGATGAATTTTGCCTTTAGAAGCCTTTCAACTTCCTCTTTAACTTGAAAGATGACATCGTTTGCCATTCTCGTAGGAGGTTGTTGGTATGGTCGATATCCCTCAATGATTAGGAGGCGATGTTCAACCAAATCTCGGCTTAGACCAGGCATCTCGTCATAATCCCAAGCAAAGCAATCTTTGTATTCCTTTAGCAACGCAACAAAGCGTGGTTTGTCTTCTTCGCCAATAACTAACTAATGTAAGTTGGCCTAGGTTTGCCATCAGCGCCAAGATAGATTTCAAGCAAAGGATCTTGCACTTCGGCTTTAAGATCGTCGAGTTTCATGGATGCACGATCAAGCTCATCTATGGTAATCTCGTTGAAAATGTTGTCATGATTAGTCGCATTAACTGGTGGGGCGGCTAAGTCCTCTATCTCATGTAACTTCATTTCTATAGCATGAGTCGACAATCTCTTCAAAGCGTTGTTGACTGCTTCTTCCTTTTCTTGTTGCGAAATCATAGAACCTCCTTTATGATAGGAGAACATGGAAGCGGCTTGTAAGGAATTACAGCATCAGGCCGCATGAATGTTTACATTGTTTCTTTCAAAGCTTCTGGTTGAAGTTGCTCAGTAGAAATGATTGGGTATGGCCGGCCATATTTGTCTTGACCCATGAACCTAACAGGTCCTATAGTTCCATCGTAAAATCTTGCATCAACTGCGTGAGATTCTACTTTGAAAGGTCGAATGTCGGCCTTGACCACTTCAACTTCTGCGCCATTCCAAAATATAAACATTTGATGTAATGATGATGGCACGAACCAATTGGCATGGATCCAATCCCTTCCTAGCAAAATATTGTAAGTTGACGAAGAGTCAATTACAAAAAATGTTGTCATGGAAGTTCTTGAGCCAACGGTTAACTGTGTAGGGAGTATTTCTCTAGTCTTCTTGACGGCGCTAGAAAAGTCACTAACAGTAACATCTGAAGGCATCAAGTTGTCATTGCACTTGCCAATCTTCTTTACTGATGAGAAAGGAAGCAAGTTAACAGTCGTTCCATTGTAGACTAGAACTCTGTTTATAGGGATACCATCAATGTAAGCCTTGATGTACAAAGCCTTAATGTGGTATGTAGATGTTTCATCAGGCTTAGTAAAAACTGTAGCCTTTGCATTATCGCAGTCGTTGCCCCCTAAGTGTATATTCTCCTTCTGAGGGACTTCAATTACTTCTTCAGTATCCCCTAAAGGGGATGGATTGTGGTCATCCACTTTTATGCACTCTTTTGCTGAAAAAGTGCAAGGCAAGGTGAGAGTATGGCAATGAAGATTGACCATGAATTGTCCAAAGACAATTGAATCAGATTTGTCTTCAAAGTCTTTAGCTTGCAAGGATTGATTTTCATTTGCTGACTACTTGTCATCTTCATTTCCTGAACCTTCATTTCTTGGTCAAATGAAGGTTGGTTGGATGGAAATTGGTTAGGCGAGCTAACATCAAGATCCATGTCCTCGTCTAAAACAGGTGCTTGACGTTCTTCTTTCTCCTTAATGGCAATCTGCTTAAGCAAATCACGAGCAATGTCATTGATTGTCCGTTGCTTTACCATAAGGGCATTTTCAGCCTAAATGTGTGCAAGTTGCTCTGCATTGATTTCTTTCTTGGAAATGATCAAATTTGCATTTTCGAGCAAAATTTCGATCTTCCAATGATCAAATTGAATATGCCACGATCAATCTTTTCTTGCATTATATTTTTGAAAGCAGTGCAATTGTTGGTGGCATGTCTCCATGAGTCATGATACTTGCAGTATTCTTTGCCTTTGAGATCCTCTAGTAATGGAAAAACATGACCAGGAGGAAGCTTTTCTTGACTTAAACAAAAATCAAAAACTTCATTAGTTTTTGACACGTCAAATGAATAAGTCCTGCTCCCATCATAAGGTTTCTTTTCTGCCCGACGCTAGTACATCGTGGCAAAACGTTCTTGTGTTTGTGGATGACCTATGCCAGCTTTGACAAGCGATGGGCATTCGATGGGTCGATCAACTTTGATTTCTGCAATACCGAGCTCAAAATTTGGCTCTTGATAATAAGTGCCATCGTTTATGATCTTCGCGTGGCAAAGCCTCATATCTTCCCACCTTGGTTGACATTTCGAAGAAGTCTCTAAAGTTGACTTCCTCGAACTTCTTTCTGAGTTCCATGTCTAGCCCATTATGAGCTAATCATACGAACTCTTCTTCAGGAAGTGGAGTGCGATATCTATTTCTTAACTTCTTGAAACGTGTCAAGTAGTCTTCGGCTCTCTCCCATTTTTTCTGGTATAGGCGTGATAGGTCGACCATGGAGATCTCAAGTTCAGTTATGTAGAACTGGATGAAACATTTTTTCCATGTCTTCCCAAGTCCTTACTGAGTTGGGTGGTAAGTTGATATACCACGTGAAAGCCGCCTCAGTGATCGAATTTGGGAAGAGTCACAGTTTGTGGTAGCCAGAATTGGTTTCTCCACACTGTACGGTGAATCGAGCAATGTAATCCAAAGTGGACTGTTCACTTGATGTTCCAGAGAAACTTGTGAAATCAGGCACCTCATAACCTCGAGGAATTCGATGAACTCGGTCATACTCCTCAGGGTATAGTTTGTGAAACGAAGGTCGGCCAACCCTCCTGAAAGCAGGACCAATCATATCTTCGATTATCTCTCTGATATGGTTCTGGTTAACCTGTCCTTGTGCCTCAACAGGGGCGTTTGGTATAGGTACCGCTGCTTGAGGTGGTCGTTGCTGAGGATGGCATGGATTGCCATTTAAAACGCCAATGCCATTCCCATTGCCATTTCTGACATGTGGTGGAACATAATCAGAGGCGCGAGGTTCAACGTTGTTAACCTCCTCGATATTATCAGCGACCATTCAGCAAGATTCAAAGCAGGATCAGGGAAAAATGCAGCGGCATTCTCACCATCAACAGCTTGTTGTTCAACACCTTGCCTAATAGGCGGCGCTTGTTGATTATTTGCATCCTGTACAATGTTGTTTGCAACGTGTTGAGGTGGTGGTGGCGCAGGTAGGGCACCAAGTCATTGGTTTTGCCCCCCGAGTCCGACCTTCATCCTATTGATGAGGTTTTGGATGCTATCTTGGGATTCAATTCTCTGCTAAGCCAAAGTTTGGACAAGTCGGTTTTGTGACTCGTCAATCTTGTTAAGAGAAACTACAATGGCTTCAAGTGAGTGCCAAATGGAGATTTCAGGGTCAGGTGATTCTGCCCTCTTGGATGGATCGGCCATGGTGTTTTCCACCTGGCTCGGCGATTAATGAGGTCGTTTTCCATCATTGTTCTCCGAAGGCATGATCTTGCGGAAAGACCTTGCAAAAAAAAGAATAAAAACAAGTAAAAGTAAAAAGAAAACCTTTAAAACGACGGAAGCGGGAAGACAAGATGTTGTGTCCGGCTTCCAGTCGTCAAAGGAAGTCGTCGGTGTGGACCGTCATTGGTGGACACTTTGGACGTAAGAAAAGAGGTAGCTGGCGTGGTCTGGGTTAAGGAGGACACTGTTTTGGAGGAAAGGAAGAGGTTTGGTGCGAGTCTGACTAGGCAGACACCAGATCTGCGAAAATTTAGAAGAAAATGGAGCAAGAAAACTTTTGACAAACGCGAAGTTAGAAATCAATTCTTTTGAGTCTCACCGGGAGTGCCAAAAAGAGATGTTGTGCCAAAAATCTCTCTGAATAGAGTTTTTGCGAAAAACTTAATAGCAGCACGGGGTGTGCCAGTAATTTTGCTGAAAATGACAAAGAGGTTGTAGAAACATTTTGGTGGTGCGCGTAGCACAGGAAAATAGATCAGAGCGACTGAATTGCGAGAACTAGATCAAAGTCACACCGGAGTATTTAAATCATCGATCCCAAATTGACTCTAAAACGTTTCAAAAGATTTATTGCTAAAAAGGAGAAAGAAATAACAAGCTGATTGTTATTCATATGAAAAAAAAAAGATGTAACAAATGTTTAACGTCTTGAGGCGATGTTGAAAGAAAAGAAAAACTCGCGAAGAGTTGATTTAACGTCCTGAAACGAGATTAAAATGATGAAATATTGAAGAACGAGGCTGTCTCGTGTTGAAAAAAGATAATTTTTGCGCGGAGCAAGTTTGTAGCTGCAGGAGCGTGTTAAAAAATGAAGGGGGAAAGCCCTTTGTATAGGGGGCGGCCTAGGCTAGGCTACCCAGGCCGACGGGATGCTCCAAACTTGCTGACTAAGTATTTGTTTCAATCTGACTTGACTTGCTTGCTTGGTTCCTTTTCCGACGATTCTAGGAACCTTCCTGGAAGTTGCTGAGCAATTCTGATATGACTTTCAATGCTGATTACCACACATGACTATCCAAGGCCAACCAACCCATATCCATCATGACCATGATGCAATTCCATCTCTTTCTCACACAATCCATCTTGACCCGGGTTTCGGTTGTTCTGCACTATAACTTGATTTGCCGAGAAAGTAAGCAAAACAATCCTAACTTTGAAATTAAGCATGACTTGAACATTCTTGGCCCTTGGTTCGATCAAAACAGAGATTGGATTAAAAAATGACTAAACCAGGGTGGAAAGCCTATGTCCGTAATTGAAAGAAATGCAAAAGTTGTCATAAAATGGCCGAAATGAGCTAACCATGAAATTGACTTGTCCTCACCCATAATATGACATATCTAACATGACTTCATGAAAATAAAGTCATCTCGAGCTCCAATTTGACCTTTTCCGAGCAGGTGTCCTTCATTGAAAACCGCGGAAAAGTTATGACCGATGTCAGATTGAGCCCGAATTTCACCAGTAGCGTTCAAATACCATCTTAAGACCATGGGAAAAGTTCTGGTCGAAATTGAGCTCTCCATCATGGTGAAATTGGTTTCACACCCCCAAATTGTCCTTAATTGAAAACCGTGAATAAGTTTTTCATCTTAAGTCCGATTGAGATGAGATTTTACCAGAATGATCTATGGAAGTCAAGGATCATCATAGTGTATTCAATTTTGAAATTGCACCAACCTAGCCCCATCAATTTCGCCTTTTGTCCTTAAATGAACAAAATACAAAGTTGTATTTTTGACCTAAATGATCAAATTAGAGCATGGGCAGTTTGGATTAAGCCATATTGCGCCACATATCATGCCACATGTCTAAATTAGACATGGCATTGTGTATATTCATGAAATTAGGATGGTCGTCACATAAGAATTAAGCCTTCGTTAAAATTGAAGATCAAATAAGATGACTTTAATTCTTTCCTGACCATCATCATTGAGCTAATAATAATTATAAAATAATTATTATTTTTCAATAATTATCCTAATTTTCGGCCCAATATTAGGAAATTAGGAAAGTAAATTATTTTCCTAATTGATTTATGACTATAGTGGCACCAAATTCGACCTAGCTTAGGATTTTAGATTAAATCTGAGGCACACATCTTGTTCTAACATTATTGAGGACATATTTACCCTCAAGTGTAAATTGAGGTATCAACAACATGTACAGATGAGAGGATTTTATACTTGAACAAATTAATCGAAAAGCTTATTCAAACCTTCCAATTCCATTAACTTAACAAGTAATTAACCAAAATTTCATGTAAAAAAAAATCGCATCAATCAAAAAGCTTTTTCAAACTTTCTAATTCCATTAACTCAAAAAGCTTTTTCAATCTTGCTTGATTGTTTGATGAAAAGGGTTTGTATCTTCTTCAATGGAAGGGTATTGACTATTGTGGCTGTGATTCTTTGCCATTGCTATTCATTTTTTGGGAAAAACAGAGTTTGAGAATTCAACAGAAGACTTTTAGTAGAGAATATGAAAATATTTGAAGAGTTTGGAAGAGACAATTGGTTATATAGGGGAAGAAAATGGCCAAAGAAGCGTGTATGTTTGAATGATCCAAAAACTTATCCAATATGGGTCAAAAGAGTTTCAGGTGGTGATGACGTTGTTGGAGCGGGATGAGTGTCAGGTGGTAAAGGGGTTGTCAGAGAAGGAGCTGGTGGTGGCGACGGCGGGGTTGAATAAAGAAGAGAAAGGCCTTTAGGGTTTGGGTGGAGAAGAAAGAATAAAAAAAAATTCGGTTTTTTCTTCCAAACATGGTGGGTTCCACTCTATTTTTCTTTTCTTTTCTTTTCTATTTTTTTTTCGAGAAGATGACGTGGCAGATGACACGTCAGCTGTGTTGACGGCATCACTGCCACGTCAGATGACTTAATGGATATTTGGACGGATACTAACAAAAAGGACTTAATTGCTTAGTTAACTCCACTTGAGGGACCAATTTACTATGGTCGCTTCACTTCAGGGACCAATTTTGTACTTTTACCGAAGAACATCAGTAAATAGGTGGGTGGGTGGTGTGGTTCAAAGGCTGCTAACACGAATAAGTTGTATATTATGGCCAACGGAATTTAAAGGAAAAGTATTAAAAATAAAAAGGCATAAAACCTACACTAACATATATTAAATGTAAAGATAACAATTTTTATTAATTGGTTGGCCAATCGGGGATCCCTTTTACAATGTAAAATCTCCTATATTCATATTAAGAGAAGGAAGTTATTACTCCTAAGTAACTTCTCCACTGCCCGAATTCTAGTGGCTGTTGCATGTCAGAATTCTGATGCAATCAAAATAGAATGATGAGGAGAAGAAGAAGAAATAAAAATCAATAGGCAAGGCACTTCCATGAAATTTTCTTAAGAATAATAGTTTCCCCACTATAGTGCAAAATGGACTCTTGAAAACGTTATCTCCATGATACAATACCTATCTAGAGAGAGAAATAAAGATTGCACTTTTAAATTTCTCTCGAACACACTTAAACCTAATCCTAAAATGCTTGAGAGAAAAAGAGAAATTTGATAAATCTCTAAATTGATTTCTATGTTAATGTATTCTTGTCAAAAGTTGTGTTAAACTCCCTTTAAAAGAATAGATGTGTCTCTCATATATCACATACAACTTCTTACGAAGGCATCTTTTCAAGTTTTTTGAAAATTTCCCAGAAAACTATTAGTCGACTAAACTCAATTTCAATTGTTTAAAATTTATACAGAAGGTCTTCAAGAAAAACTTTAGTCAACTAAAATTTATACATATGGTTCTGCAGACTTTCTTAGATTCTTTTAACCAACTGCAATCCAAACTATTAGTCGACTGAAACTTTCCTAGAGACATAACATGTTTGAAATATGTGTTTTCTCAAGCCTATAAGTACTTATCATAGATTCCTCCTTACCAACGTATTATTGGGAAATATATTCCATGTACAATATTGGCTTCATGAGTATAAACTACCAACTTTCTAATAATTTCCTTTGATATCCAAAGGACTAAGTAACCATTCTTTAGGAGAAAGACAACTCATTTATGGAGAAAAACCCTCCACATACAGAGAAATTTCTCATGTCTCGTCTCCTTTTATAGTGAATAATTTTTTATATTAATATATAGAGAGAGGGGGAGAGAGACCAAATTTGTCATATAGAAAAGTGGAATTTGACATAGATTAGGTTTTGGTGAAGGTCCATTGCCGTGAACTGATTTTTTATTGTTACATTTGTAGAACTGATAAACCGTTTAAGGTATTTTGTAAGAGAATAAATGAAGAAAAGAAACTTAATTGGTTCCTATTATTTACAATTATTTAAATACAATATGAGTTTGAGTATATGTAAAATACATCAGATTAAATCTTATATATACATTTGAAATACAAACAATCAGTTTGAACATATTGTTAACTCGAAATTAACTTTGAATGAAGGATAAGTTAACACTTATCTCTTACACACCCCCTTAAGATGGTGAGGCTGTTAAGGACACACCAATCTTGGAATATAGGTTATGGAATTTTTGACGAGGAAGATT